ATTAGTTGTACAACATTTAATTGGAACATTATAAACGGTATATAGGTCCAAGCACAGCTGATCCTGTATGACTCAATAGGAGAGAATAACAAGACGTCAAGTCACAACACGTGCATGTTTGCAGATCCCGAGAGAGAGTAGCATTAGTGGGAAAAAAAAGTAAAGAAAAAAAAAAAAGTAAACTAAACCAAAAGAAAAAGAAAATATTGTGAGATTTTTCTATCCTTTTTTTCTTTCGTCAATTTAGGGTCAAACGGGATGGCCGATTGGTATTGATTACACACTAAGGGCGTGACAGCCGAGATCCCAGAATGCTGGGATTGCAGAATAAGGATAAGCCTGTTCATCCCACTTCCCGACATCTCTTAAACTGATATGACATATCATGTACACATATATGCTAAATTAGCCAGGTACATATGCACACTCCGTATACATCCAGATAGCAACCGGGATGATACAGTTCCAGGGGCCAAAAAAAAAATTGAAATAAAAAAATTGAAAATTGAAAATGAAGGGTTGAAATCGAGGACCCATCCTGAACCATGGTTATTTTACCCGTGCTACCAAACCAAATAAAGCCATGGTTGAGACATGCAAGAATAGAACCATTTGGGGTAATTGATATTGGGCAGTTCTAACGGGTTTCGTTTTTAGTACTGTTGCATGCACTTCGGCTATTATTTCAAATTACTATATTGCACTCCATACTACTCCGTACTCCGTACTCCATCCAGAATCCCCTTTTTCTTATCTTTTATCATTTACTGCACCCCGCTTAGGCCCTCTGGAGTTCTAATAACAACATGTAATACAAATGAGGCCCAATTTTTGAGTCGTTTGGCGTATAGCATTACCCAGCGGAGTACAGAGCCGATTAACCTCCGCCTATACGGAGTAGTAATATTGTGGCTGATAGTCCTTGGCCAGGATCGTCTTCCTGCAGAGGACTGTGCAGTGCACATCATTATTTCCAAAGTATGCAGAACAGCGTTGTAGTACATCTGGAGAAAGATGGATCCCTGTATGCAATATATGACCCCGGTCCTCATGATCATTGGCTGATAGTGAACATTGCATCGAGAGGGGTTTGTTCAACATTTTCCCCTCCCATCCCCTTAGTGGTTGCATTGTGCACATCACTGGGCCTTAGGTTTCACGATGGGAGATCGACCTCACCCCCTGGTGTGGCGTTCATGGCGTGCTCACTATGGGTAGTGGTTACTTCTGGATGTGTGGTGTGAGCATCTTGAACTGGATATGTAAATATATACGGAGTATACGGGGGACAGACTGCTACTATGTACTACTTGTCTAAGGACATTCCCTAGCTTCGGAATGTTTACAATCTTCCCCGGAAATTATCCCGGGGTCCCTAAATAATGCAATGGTCTCCCGTTACATCCGTGTTCCTTGTTTTCAACTTTTTAATCACCGCACTTTTTATAAATTCAGGCAGATAGATTATTACAGTAGACACAGTACGAAGTATTGTATGTTGTACTTGGGAAATCCACAATGCACTCTGCCCTATGTAGTAAGACCGTGCTAATGTTATGCCCTAGGTTCAGGCATACATACCCTATACAACATACCGGTACTCCGTACTCCATACTCGGGATTTGCAGATAAGACCCCGCATATATTCAAAGGGGCAAGTAAAAGGAATTGCAAATGCCATGATAATAATTTGAAACATATATCAGAAACAGCATAATTTGACTTCCCGACTTACCGTGTCTGGTAATAAAAAAAAAAAAAGGTACAAAGTGGAGCGTCAAGTGGCAAACCATATGCGACCACACGGGTGTACCTGAACTAAGGCCGGGGGAACCAAGAAAGGGGAAAAGAAAAAGTGGAAAAAGGGTGGCAAACAAAGAAATGTGGGAAAGAAAACACATGGGAAGAAAACTCTATGAACTAGCGGACCGTAAACTTCAATAATCCCAATTAGGTAAAGTCTACTCCACTTGGATTCCATACCGTTCCGCACCGTTGGAAGAAAAAAAAAGCTGTGGAGAGTCGGAGATTTATGACCTTGTTTAACAGATCGGGAATTGCCCCTGATCGTAGCACGATCGGTTTGAGATATTCATATAGCCTGTTTATTGGCTATTGATTTGGAGGCCAAGGTATTCTAAATAGTTCAAATGCTTGAGTACGGAGTAGACTCGATATGCTATACAGTACGGAGCATATCAAAAAAATAAATGGTATTTGTATTAGATTTTCGTACGGAGTACTGTTCGGAGTACTGGACGATGCTCCCGAACCCAGCACATCGGCACTAAAATACTTCTCCATTGAGAAGGTGTTGGGGTCACGGGACGAGATGGAGACGGGCTGTTTCAAGTTCGAGCTCCACTTGAAAATCTTCTAGCTTGCCTTCTGGAAGTTGCGGCCCGAGGTTGGGAGAGCCCATACCACATGGGGGTTTTTTCAGATTGGGAATTGAAATGTCTCTTGAAATTGGAATGTGAGAGAGAGACTAGTTTCATGCCCTTGTCCATTTTCTCGTAGAGTCTCATGAATCCAACCGAAACATGCAAACCGAGATCCATGTACGGAGTAGAAAAGCCAATATCAGACCGCGTCTTATGGCATGCAGATCATCGAGATGTCACTAGTTGCTTGCGCTCGGGGCCCCGTGGCTGACATTTTCGTCTCGGCGGCTCTGTCTACCTCACCGTGCCTGAAGAAGTCAGCCGCGGAGTATGACAGCCCGGCACTTGCGTAACCTGCTTGTTCTTCGGTGACACCCACCTGCCAATCACAGTATTACATAGTGCGAGTCCTGCCGCGGCCCGGTAGTGGGGAGGTCTTGTGCTCTTCTAAGTGACACCTAGCCTCGTAGACTCTGGAGTCGACATGCGTCCCTGAGCCCATGATTTGACGACATGAGACAAAGTCTCTGAGACGGTGTTTTGCAACGCGGGAAAATTGAAGCACAATCTTGTAGCGTTTGCAGGTTGAAACAAAATACATCACCAATAATTCTCGCAGTATTCCATACTGGCAGTGCTGGCGATGTCACGGGACCCTTTGCGACTGATCATCCCACCACGGCTACCCACAGTACGAGTTTGAGAAAGCTTAACTGTGAGCAAGAACCCTGACGGTAACATTGACCATTTCCAGGTCCACACTCGCTGGCAACCTAGCTTTGATCAATCGTCAAGAGACGCCTGAGCCTGAGTTGAAATCCATTCTTCCATCAGAGGCTGCCGATTTGATTCAGATTGAACAGCGTTTGGTCTGGTTTTGTCGCCCTTGCGGGTTATCAAGAGACATAAAACCCACCCATAGATATTGAAGCTCTCATAATGGGTGCTGAAACGAAGCTTCTTTTCGTCATTGCCAGTCGTGTCTTCGAGTGGCACCTGGTCTTCCCTGGTTGTCCGAATTCTCTTGCTTGTCCGACGTCCATTCCCCAGTGCCACTTCATCCGCAGATTCCGGAATATTATGCAATTCCAGATCAGGCTCGCTGTCACTCTCGATCATAATTCCACCATCTGCCGAGTTGACCGGGTTGACAGCCGTATCCCCTAAGACATGCTCTGGTTTCACCTCGACGTTCAAATCTTGATTCTGATTTTTATTTCCTTGGAATGTCTTGTTGCGCGTGAGGAGCGAATGGCGGGTGCGGGATTCGCGGAGGAAGATTGCCACTTCGAAGTCATCTAGGTAAAGTGTTAACATACTTGGTTCATTGTACGAGGAATATCAGATGATCCATACCTTCTGCAATGACATCCTTGACCGGCTTGCCCTTCTTACGCATGAACAACCGCTCATTCTCTTCACGCAGCTTCGGAAGGACCAGCGGTCGAACGGCAGCGATGACGCGGGGCAGGACCGGATCGCGAGAGTCCAAGAGCCATCGTGAATCAGATGGTGATTCCAAATAAATGCGACATTCCAGTACTGAGTATTTGCTAATTCGGAGGTATCGTCGGATGGGAGCCATGTTTGAGTGTGTGCGCAAGGGCGTGGTCAAAATGCATATGACCTCAAGATCACGCCAAGCGCTTTTGGCGCTGATCCTCTGATTGGCGATCGAGACGCCTGAAAGGGCTGAAGGGAATCTTTCTCAAGGGGGCCATCAACCACGTTCCTTCAACCCCCTTCCAATCTTCCAAAATATCCTCCTTTCTATCAAAGACAAGAAGATGGAACAAACGTCAGGCCATGATGAGGACATTATCGCCTGTATGGAATACACGTGACCTAATCACCGCAATCGGATCCTTGGAAACCCCCAAGGTCCTCAATGCGCTAGTCCTAAGTACCGGGTACTTTCGGATACACCAACATTTGTATTGGCCCACAGGTACCCGGTACTGGCCAGATAGAGTGTAAAACTCCGTCCTTGACGTCTTCGCGCTCCCAAGGTCCTCATGGATCCCCTCTAGGGCTGCCACCGGTGATTAATATAACCAAAAGATCCCGCAAATTCTGATTCGATTTTGATTCTGCCCCTTATTAGAAGCAAGTCATTGAATCATATCTATACCGACTGAATTTTCCGATCTTGCTCCCAGGGTACTCATTCAGACGAGAAAACCCATCGAAAGTCTGCACAGTGCGACTCACATTGCGATTCACCGTGCGACTCATACACACGTGCGACCAGGAGAGGAAGCATTTATTTACTTCTCGATATCTTCTATTCAACCGGTATCCATAAAGTTTGGCATTGTCAGGATATCCTGGTGATTTCATGCGTGGTTAGTGGGCTAACTACGCATCTCGCCTACTATCGAGGACCTTGGGGATTGCGGTCAACTAGCCTCTCCCACAGACCCCCCGCTACAAGTTTGTGGTCATCCAACCCTTTCTTCTCATCTCAACTAAACCACAAATCTTCTCGTCAACTGGGATACTTGCACCAGTATCTACCTTTCTCGTTCTGTGCACTTCATTTGTTCCCACAGAACTTCTTTTCGTCCAACCCCTACACATCTTCCATACTTCTTGTGTCACCATTAACCGACTTCAATGGAATCCTACTCCACTCTCCTCAAGCGTGAGGATGCTTGTGAGTCCGGGAATGAGTTCGACGGCCGGATGGGCCTGCGGATCTCCTCCATCTTTGTGATCATGGCTGGCTCCATGTTTGGTGCTCTGTTCCCAGTCTTCGCCCGTCGCTTTAGCAAGAAAGGTGGATTCCCCAAGTGGGCCTTTTTCGTCGCCAAATACTTCGGATCCGGTGTGATCATTGCCACTGCATTCATTCACCTGTTGGCTCCGGCAGAGGAGGCACTGAAGAACGAGTGCTTGACCGGCCCAATTACTGAATACAGCTGGGTAGAGGGCATCATCCTCATGACCATTATTGTTCTGTTCTTTGTGGAGCTGATGGTTATGCGTTTCTCACACTTTGGCCAAGGCCATGTGCACGACGAGGAAGGCAATACCCACACCCATCTCGATGACAACTCTATTGTCAACGAAGCCACTGAGCCGAAGCATCACATGCCAGGGGAGGATCACCTTGGTCATTCCCGTGAGCATCACGATAATAACAGCGACTCTGAAAACGACGTCCAAGCGGCTGAGGACTATGCCGCCCAACTTACTTCGATCTTCATCCTGGAGTTCGGCATCATCTTTCACTCTGTTTTCATTGGTCTCACTCTTGCAGTGTCAGGCGCCGAGTTCACTACCCTTTACATTGTGCTCGTCTTCCATCAAACCTTTGAAGGACTTGGTCTTGGTTCTCGTCTAGCTACGATTCCTTGGCCCAAATCCAAGCGCAACACTCCCTACTTCCTAGGCTTTGCTTTTGGAATCTCGACTCCAATTGCCATTGCTATTGGCTTGGGTGTTCGAAACAGCTACCCGCCTACCGGGCGAACCACACTCATCGTCAACGGTGTCTTTGACTCTATCTCCGCTGGCATTCTCATCTATACTGCCCTCGTTGAGCTGATGGCGCATGAGTTCATGTTCAGCCACTCCATGCGCAAGGCTCCCATCCGTGATGTGCTGATTGCCTTCTTCCTTCTTTGTGCTGGAGCTGCCCTCATGGCGTTGCTGGGTAAATGGGCATAGAGGTATCTCTGCTGCTTCAGTGATGATAAAGCCCCCGGGAACATTTTTCCCAATAATGCGTCATGTCTTTGCTTTTCTTTGTCAAAATTTTATCTTATGGTCACATATCGTTTCTGCATCTGTGATACCCACGGGATCCGGGCCAGTTTTAGCCATGCACATATACGGCGTTACTTTAGCGAATTTATCTACTTGTACTCCATGAACAAAACTATTAGAACCATTCAACCGACAGTCAAGCAGTAGCAATAGATAACATAACCAGTAGTAGAGCTAGATTCGGCAAGACCGATCTTCTATATCTATATAACCCATGTACTTGACATCCGAGGTATACCAAGACCAATCCCTGAAACCAACCGTAGATAAGCCATTAGCTCAATCCTTAGTTCACGCTTAACCATTTCCACCATAGGGCTTGTTCCTGACAGGGGGTTCCCCGCTCCAACTTTTGTACAACAGGTCGAAAATGAAATAAATAGCATGGAATTCCCAGGGATACTTGGCACCCTTGTTCCCCCCGGTCCTACCTGAAAGGACCAAAGTCCAAGTATTTCCCCAACCCATCTCTCAAGTCAAAATGGCTTCAGCGCGCAGCTTGACCGCGCTCCCCGGGTGCGATGAGTCCAAGGCTGCGACTCAAGACACTATCCACCAAGATGACCCTGCTCACTCATCGGGTACACCGTTGAAGAAACAGAGCCTGTCGGACCTCTTCACTATTGTGAGTTCATTATCCTGGCCTATCCATGCCAGGTTATTTTTTGTTTCCCCCGCATGCATGGTTCAAATCAACAAGTGACAGACTGACCAATCGGGTGGTGTTTAGTTTGCAAGCGGCTTCGCTCTGATCAGCGATGGATACCAAAACAATCTGATGTGAGTTGAGCGATTGCTCCCATGCGTGACTGTGTCTAACCACGGATCACCTCAAAGGACTATGACCAATGTCCTCCTCAGGAAAGAATATCCCAAGGAGTATACTACCACCGTCAGCACGCGCGTTTCGAATGCTTTACTTGTTGGCGAAGTCATTGGACAGATTGTTATTGGGTACGAATAAGACACTACTAAAGGTTAGGGCTATGGAAGGGTTCTGAAGACTGACAACACTATGCCAGACTGACATGCGACTATCTCGGTCGTAAGACTGCTATCGTCTTCACAACACTTATGATTGTCGTCGGAGGCATTCTCGCTACAGCCTCGCATGGCGTTACCATCAACGGCATGTTCTGGATGATGACGGTTGCCCGTGGCGTTGTCGGGTTCGGTAAGTGAGACCTCAAGATATTTGCTTTGCTTGCATATTTCAAAGACGTCATTCCTATTTGATTACTCTACTAACTATCTCCAGGCGCTGGCGGCGAGTATCCGGCCTCTTCAACTTCCGCCTCAGAAGCAGCAAACGATCTAATCCCAAAGCACCGTGGCCCAGCATTCATCATGGTAACAAACTTCCCCCTGTCATTTGGAGGCCCATTCGCAGTCTCAATCTTCTTGATCGTACTCCTGGCCTGCCAACAATCCCACTACAGCACCGTGTGGCGGGTATGCTTTGGCATAGGATGCATCTGGCCGCTGTCAGTGTTCTACTTCCGAATCCGCATGCTGAACTCAGTGCTGTACCGACGCGGAGCAATCAAGAAGCACGTACCCTACATGCTCGCGCTGCGGTATTACTGGAAATCATTGATTGGAACTTGCGGTGCTTGGTTTCTCTACGGTAAAAGAGCCCCCCCATATTCCCCATATTTACAGAGTCTGTGTGGAAACTAACATGTATAGACTTTGTCACCTTCCCCAACGGCGTCTTCTCCGGTACAATCATCTCCTCGGTCGTGCACGACGGCACAATCCTGAAAACAGGCGAATGGCAGCTCCTCCTCGGCGCAATCGCGCTGCCAGGTGTCTTCCTGGGGGCTATTCTCTGCGACCGCCTTGGCCGCAAGCCCATCATGATGATCGGCTTCAGCGGATACCTGATCTTCGGCCTGATTATCGGCTGCGCCTACGACCGCATTACTAAGATCGTCCCTCTCTTTGTCGTCTTCTATGGACTTATGCAGAGCTCCGGCAATTTCGGTCCAGGCAACATGCTCGGTCTTATTTCGTCTGAGTCGTATGCTACCGGTGTGCGGGGAACTTGCTACGGACTCTCTGCGGCCATTGGGAAGGCGGGTGCTGCTGTCGGTACGCAGGCGTTTCAGCCTATTAAAGATCATCTAGGAAACAAGTGGACTTTCATTATTGCTGCTATTTGTGGCGTTGTTGGGATTATGGTTACTTTCTTCTTTGTGCCTGATTTGACGGGCGAAGATTTGAGGGTACGCGATGAGAAATTCCGTGCTTACCTTGTTTCTAACGGTTGGGATGGCGATATGGGCGAGGATGATTTGCAAGCGGCTGCTGATCAGGTCATTACCCCGGGTCTTCCTAATGATGATACTAAGTTTGTGAACCAGACGGTGAAGGGTTAGAATGACTTTCGGTGCACGGCAATCAGCAGATGGTCGAAGATCAGGAATGGGGATGACATTCCTAGATGATCTTAGCCGACATTACTCGGATCTCAATTGCTTAGATAGAATCACAGCGCGATGTCCGCATAATCGTAGTCAATAATAACACAAAATCTTCAATTAGTCCGAAGTATGGAGCTACTATATAATATATATATGCCCAACCTCTGCTTCCTTTGGCATGTTTAGTGCATACCAATTGGTATATTGCGTGGCCCCTCTCTCGTCTAGTCTAAGAGCATTGATATAAGATAGATAATATGCAATAAATAGGTATCTTGCAAGATATTACAACGATGGAGGTAAACCATGAAACCATAAGCTTAAAGCACAGACCAACGCTAAACCTCGGTCTAATCTCCGCCTTATCTGTCCACATCCCCAAACTCCTCTCTCTCCCCTCTCAATCCACCCCATAAACACACAATGCGTCTCACCTCCATCCTCGTTGCAGCCCTCGGCTCCCTCGCGGCCGCCGCCGACCTCGGCATCGAAGTCACCCACGCTGTTGAGTGCACCCGCAAGACCACCAACGGCGATGGTGTCGCCATGCACTACCGCGGCACTCTACAGTCTGATGGATCTGAGTTCGATTCCAGCTACAAGCGCAAAGCGCCTTTGACCTTCAAGCTTGGTACCGGTCGTGTCATCAAGGGGTGAGTTGGAAGCTAGTCTGGGATGTTTGTGGATGTCAATTGTGCAATTGCCTACAAACATCCTCACCATCTTGGTTATATGGAAGCTAATTCGTGTGTTCGTTGTGTATAGATGGGACCAGGGCTTGTTGGACATGTGCATTGGCGAGAAGCGCACTCTGACTATCCCCCCCGAGTTCGGCTACGGCGACCGCGGTGTTGGCCCTATTCCCGGCGGTGCGACATTGGTGTTTGAGACCGAGTTGGTCGGCATTGATGGTGTGAAGGATGAGCTTTGAATGAGCAGTGCTTGATACCTACCTATATGATCATCTCTGGGAGGGATTCTGATGACCAGGCCATATTCGGCCAAGAACAAATATACACATTTTCGCATGCGAGTTGTTATATAATACAGCAGCTGGGTATCTCATCTATATATGGTAAGATGTACACGGTATACAAACCGGCCGAACAATTACATCAAAGTAAAGCAGCAATCAAACAGCGGACCAAGTATCAGTCCATCGCATCCAAAGCATTCTCGGTCTGGAAATCATGCTCCGAAACCAGAATTCCGACCAGACACTCGCCAAGGATTCCCTCCCAGTTGACCCACGGATGGATCTCTTGAAACAGCTGTGCAGAGTCCTTCCCCGCGCCACGGAGGAGCTCACCCTTCCCACCTGGATGGTAAGGGGCGTAGGGCGAGATATTGTACACCTTTCCATGGTATGAAGTCCAGGCATCCCGACCCTTACGCCCGTGCTGCTCCTTTAGCATTGACGGTGTAACCCTCAACAGGCCTGGGGGAAGGCCTTCGCCGCGGAGGTTGTTCTTCGGGTTCGCTGCCCGTGCTGCCCAGTCAAGGGGCGAGAACCCTGGTGCGAGAATCACTTGGCGCGATGAGGACTTCTTTAGAGATACTTGTGTCGGGGCGAGGGTGCTGTTGCTAAGACGGCTGCCGCTACTCGGTGCGCCTAGGCCGCGCTGAGCTGCGGCTGCTGATGGTGGCGGACCAAGGGAGTTGCCGTTGAGCCGTGGGGGTTGGAGCGTGCTTGTGGGGGTGAGACGGTTCGTTTGAGTTATTGGCCGGGACCGTGGCACTGGGGGTGGAGGCATTAGGGAACTAGCGCCGGTTGTTGTAGCCTTCGGGAGTATAGATGATGGCTGTGGCTTTGGAGGGGGTGCGAGGGATGGCTGCGATGGCGGTTGGAACTTTGGTACATTATCACGGGTTTTCGAGGATAGTTGCTCTGCTGTTCCATTCATGGGTTGTGAAATGGACGACATCGTGGCGGGTTGAGATGTCTCGCGCTCGCCGCTGTCCAGGCTGAATGTAGGGACCGCAAGGACGGGGGTTGGTGCGCTCGAAGCCGCAGCCTTGGGTGTGCTCTGAGAATCCTCCTCATCCTCTGTCTCTATTGATGATGCCGACGCCTCTGAGCCATGCTTCCGCTGCACAGGCTCGTCTGCGGTGGCAGCGGCAACCGGCGCGTCGGTGTTGGGTTCCGGAGGGGCAAAAGAACGAGGCTCGGCCCAGCTGCGAGGAGGGTAGCGGTAGAGAAAGTAGGCTGTTGTTGCAATAAGCACGCCCGCACCTACCCAGCCCATGCCGAACTAAATTAGAAATGCACTGAAAGTGAGGAAGGTGAGTTCAGAGTGTTGTTCGTGATTAGAATAACGATCTTGCAGATTCGCCGAGGAAATTGGCCCGTGCGCTATCAATGGGGTATCTATGCAGCATTTGGGGTCTGTTCAATAGAAGGCCAAATACTATTTGGTAAAGTGATATTTGATATTTAACTGGTTTGGGTGATTAATTAGACTCATCATATTGATATCTCTAAAAAAAAGAGAAATTACTACGCTATCTGCCCCAAGTGCCAATGAAAAAGTATACATTGCCGGCAGTCAAATGCCAGACATCGCTGGTAGAGCTATCTGGGGAAGGAATGGACTCCCGGGAAGCCATTGAAAGCCACCAATTGGATGTCAGTGGTAAATAAAGCATCAGTCAAAAACAGAAGGCGTTCATGATGTCAGTGCATCATCATCTATAGTTGCCCACACCCTTTACCAGTGATACGAGGGCTTGATTTTGCACATTAACTGCCCAAAAATGGTTGTGGCTCACAGAGCTCTGAGGGATCATATGTTCCGCGAAACAATGTCTACCTCAGACGCAGTCACGCTATTTGATGCCGGGGCTGGTCAAGTGAGTGTCAAGGCACAAGGCCATCACACAGCTATCGTACTTACCAAGAATCAAATGGCAGGCCCAGGGTGGTAGGAAGCATCAAGAGGATCGTTGCGCAGTGATTTTTCCGGATCAGTTTCCTTCGAACATGAAGGATAAAGTTGCATTCTTCGCAATCTATGATGGGCAGTAAGGAAAGCCTCAAAGTGCATCCTTGAAACCAGTCTCAAACTAATCAATGTTTTCAGTGGTTCTGGATTGGTTTCAGAACATGTCAATGACAGTATGCACCACCTGCTTGGACGACGTCCGGAGTTTGAACGAGACGATTGGGCCGGGGCTATCAAGGCAGCACTGGCGGAGGAAGACAGCCTTCTCTTGGATAGATTCAAGCATGAATCTGCTGAGCCTGCCATCTCAGGATCGACCGTGGCAATATGCTGCATTAATCTTACCAAGGGCGAGTTGGTCGTCTCCAATCTTGGCGACACGCATGTTATCCTGGCCGAGCGGGACCGGAAAACAGAGCACCCGTATCACATTGTATGCACTGCGGTTGATTGAGTTGATTTGAGCGTGCATGCTAACAGCCACTAGCGACGTCTCACAGAGGCTCACAAGCCCGGTACTCCCAGCGAAAAGACCCGAATTGAGCAGGCAGGCGGTGAAGTTGTTGACCGCAGCGGCACGCAGCGACTCGGTGGGTTCAAGAAGAGATCGGCCCTCAAATCAAAAACTGACTCTGCGGGACAGGCTCCTTGAACATGTCTCGAGCATTAGGTGACCTGCAGTACAAAAATCCGGTGAATACTCTCACGGACACGTCTGTACCAGACCCCGCCTCATCGGCTACAAGCCGTTCGGAAACTCGGGGTAACTTCCTATCCAATGATCCATATACGTCGCGACGGACATTGCACACAGACCGCCGTTACCTCCTACTGGTGGTGTCCGACGGAGTTACCGATCGAGTGGACGACACGAACCTGGTTCAGCACGTGATGAAATTATCGATGCGGGGAAAACGAGCGAGTGAAATTGCACAAGAAATCGCCACCAATAGTGCTAGCAAGCCTCGTAGTGACAATGCAACGTGCATTGTAGCGATGTTGGACGGACAGGGATCGTGATAGATTATGCTACATATCAAGATAGGTCCGTATAGTATAGTTTAGCAAAGCAAAAGTTCCACTTTGGAAAATGTTATGCAGCTGTGCCACTCACAGTCCATCAACGGTTCGCTCTTTACCCAATGAAGAAGGTGGTGTTGGCCTATTCTGGATTTTTCCTTGAATATTTAATTCACATTAATTCACATTTCTTTTTACAAATATTTTATAAAATCATTTTAACTATTTCTCTTTTAATTTCTTGGTCCGAGCCTAAGTGAAAAGGGAAATAGAAGAAGAAACCCTTACCAATCAAACCAATCAATTCAATTGTGGCGTTTTTATACGGAGGGAAATCTAGGCAGTTCCAAGGTTTAGAGAAACCTAGGTGCTCAGCTTTTCCAAGGTTACAAATGTACTTTTCTATTAAAAATGATGCAATTTGAATTTTATATATACATTCGAAACTATAACAGTATAAAATGCTATCGGCTTCTCCGTGGTTTCCGCCCTAAAATGTTGTCGCTTACATGCTTTATCCAACCAGACCTCGGTATTCTTCATACTCCAATGGAGCTACTGTTAAAAACCCAGAGTCTCCGACCAGGGGGAGGGGCACCAATCTGTTGGAAACTCGTCAAACTACTTTAGGCAGGCGACTGAGTCTCGGGGTGGAGCTGGTAAAAAGAAGCATAAGATCCGGTTGTAGCCACCTTCCAGAACGGTCAATCCTGAAGAGGATCTCCCGAGCTCGTTAGATACAAAATCGCCCGTCTGTTCCACGGATTTTTTTCTTCCCCTGATCTGATTTTTTCCATTTTCGTTATTGGTTTCAGATCTTTCTTTTCATATATCGTATCTATCCGACAACCCAGACAGGAACCCGGGGACCTCCGACTCAAGCATCTGATATGGCACCAAAGGAATGGAGTAACTTCCATGTGGGAAGAGACTGTAGCCACCAAAAGTGGTCTCGAAGAAACACCCCCAAGTTCACCATCTCCTCCGGCGAGACTGTTTCCTTCGACGCTATCGACAGTAGCAATGGCCAGCTCGACACGTCATCTAAGGCCTGTGATATCGAGATGTTGGATCTCGGCCTAGCCAATCCCGTCTTCGGCCCGATCTATATGAACGACGCCCAGCCCGGCGATGTCCTCAAAGTGGAAGTCCTGGACCTTGAGGTCGCCGACTGGGGCTGGTCCGCCATCATCCCAGGCTTTGGTCTACTGGCAGACGAATTCCCAGACCCAGAGATCAAGATCTGGGAGCTGAACCGTGAAGCAGGCTTCGCCCAATTCAAAGACATGCGCATCCCCTTGCGTCCTTTCCTCGGATGCATGGGTCTCGCCCCAGCCAACGACGAAGAACTCTCCACCGTGCCGCCCACAAACGCCGGCGGAAACATGGACTGCCGAGAACTCAGCGTCGGCTCCACCGTCTTCCTCCCTGTCCAAACTACCGGCGCTCTCTTCAGCTGTGGTGACGGTCACGCTGCCCAGGGTCACGGCGAAGTCTGCGGCACCGCCATCGAAACCCCGATTCGCGCTACCCTCCGTTTTGAGCTCCTCAAGAACCAACCCTGGATGACGGCTCCCCAATTCCAGACTCCCCCCGCGCCCAAATACCAAACCCCCTTCCCGACCTTGGAACCTACGGTGCTCTCGGTGTTGCTCCTGACCTGTACGAGGCTACCAGAAGTGCCACTCGGAATCTTATACAGTGGTTGGTGCAGACTAAGGGTCTCACTCGCAGCGAGGCGTACATCCTTGCTAGTGTTGCTGGTGACTTACATATCGCCGAAGTAGTCAACGTGCCTAACTTTGAAGTGGCCATGACACTCCCCTTGGGTATATTTTCTTGATGTGTTTTCTTTTCTCTTTTTTTTGGAAGACGTCCTTGATGGATTCCAAGACATATGCTGGCGTGATACCCTCCTGAGAATATTAATTGGTGTTGTGATTTTCGATTGGACATATACTGGTGTGGCTGCGATGATGTATTTGCATGATTCAGGACAAGCGTTACTCAAGCGAGCATTATATTCTTAATACAGAGTCTTCTCTTTGACCGAGAAACCTATAGCTACTTAATCCGTAGTACCCTTCATTTGTATAGTGACTTTTTTCTCTATACCAGGCCTATCTTAGCTGCCACTTTTGTGAGTAAATTTTGGGACGAGTTCAGACTAACTCGGTCTTGTACTGGATTTCACAGAGAGTAATTGCTGGCTAGCACTGAATAATTATCTACCGACTTGACCCGTCGTTACTGATCCAGATATGACGGAAATTCTTTTTGATATTTCATCGACTCCGATTTGATCCCTTGAGACCTTGGCCCCTTTACATAAAGAGCTTAATACTGCCCAGGTAGGCAAGCCATTATGATGTGAGTACTGTTTCTTAGGCGCCGCACGCATAGTGATCATCGAATACTGAATTGGCGCGCCTTGGCATATGTGGATATACCAAAATGGCCCGTGCATAGTTGATATATTGCGCAAAGAGCCATATGGCCGCGTTGTGTATGTTACAGGTAGTGTATTATCGATTTTGAAAACTGTGGTTGTAGCCTGCGTATTGTTCAGCGGTGGACTGGGGTAAATGATTTACCACACGTCCATGCTGTAATCACGATGGCAGCGCCAGGGCTATCATTATGTATATCGCGATGGATCTATTTCTATCTTGAATCAGGTGACACAATATTCGCGTGTGACAAGAACACCGTGAGTAGGTGTGGGATTGCGAGAATTGAGAGACTCCTCATCAGTGTCCTTTGAGACTGCTTTCCCAATGGAAGCCCCATCATGAACTATATGTGTATCATGAGATGCATGGCTTAAAGAGTTGAAAAGAATTCCCGGCTGTTGCTTGTTTGGCGATAGGGCTCCGAAGTTTTTGTATTCACCACGAAGGCCTCGCGAATACCTAGAGGGTCGCGAACCGCTGTGGACTGTGGGGCTGTGCGCGTTGGCAATGAAGAGACGAAAGGCGGGTAGACAGGAGGTAACAATTGCAGCAGTGTTCTCCAATAAAGAGAATAGTTGGAATTTTATCGGATCGACGTTGTGTGTTTTCGGATTGGTCATAACCAGGCGTAAAATGGCGAATATAATTGGAATAATTGGTAGTGCGAATAAACCAATCAAGATCCAGCGCTTTCGAGGGTTGACCTTCAATTTATGAAGAAGGGGAAAGGGGATCAACATTACTATATTTGATGGGTTAATATACGAGCTAGTTCAATTGAGATGGGGGAATAACTAACTGCAAACATCAACTGCGATGTCGGTGCCAATA